CGATTTTGTTCGCAGAGTTGTTCTCGAAATCTTCGAGATTGTAAGCGCTCACAAAGAGTTCTATGAAAATCAAGCGGCCATAATTACTATGCAGACAATGCTAAGACTTAGTTACTGCGTAAATAAATCACTCAAAGATTCAACGCTGTTCGAGAAACTTGTAGGGGGCATGTCTGACATACTTATTAGGTATACTTTTCTGATCATTTACTGTAAAAACGCAACGCAATCTCAGTATAAATATAATAATATATTTACATTAATTAATATAATGTATAATTAATTTTATATATTTATATATTATTACATAATTGATTATATTTATAAGGTATTTTCATTGATATTAATGATTTTAATAAATTATTAAAAGATTTTGTGTGTGTGTGCTGAAGCCATTATAACTGTTATTCACACATAGTAAAATTGAAGGCTTTAATGACTTCTAGATCGCTAAAATTAGATGTGAGCTTCGACACGGACTGCATTCTGCAGCAAATTGTACTTTTCGTAAAGAATCTGGATATCAAAGAATTGAAAAAGAACAAGCTGAAATTTGTGGCTATCACGATGTTTAATGTCATCCTGCAAAAACAAGCAGCCTTCGATAAAAATACCGATGCGGAAATGATCATCGACGTTTGTCATGATATATTAGAGTCAATGGCAAAGATTGTCAAATGTGACGATGATAATGACACGATTTCATTCGCCATTGATTCATTATGCAATACCTGCGCCAGCAGTGCTCGGTGGGATATTCGTCAATTTGTTTTTTTTTTCAACGTCGATATATCAAAACTATTTTATTTTAATTAATGAAATGTTTCCGTGTCCGCAGATTCTGCCTCATGCAAGATTCGAGAGAAAATAGTCAGACCAAACTTAAGATTTACGAAAAGAAAAACAATTTGGAAATTTCCGTGTACCATACGGTGATGGATATAATTATACCGTACGTTAAAGTACGTTCGTTAGAAAATATAATAAAATATTAATCTACTAAAATAATACACCGCATATAAATAAATGGAATGAGTCATAAACACTATTGCTTTTTTTTTTTGATAGGACAAAGACTTGTCTTCTCTAGACTTGATCGGATTTTATAAAAATCTCGTCTTTTGTCTGAATAATTTGTATCAGCTAAAAAATTGCAATAAGGATAATTTGTCGAATCATTTGACTGCCAATGGATATCTGAAGCGCTTGTTATATTTAACTGTGCAGTTTCCGTAAGTTGCATATCCGTTTCTAATGCTGTATAGATCGATAGAATTATAAGTGGCAATTATAAATTGACAAACGCATTTACGTTATATTCAGTATTTTATAATTAAATATATATATATTGTATATATAATTTTTTTTAATAAACCTATGCGACACACAAAAATAAAAACAAACTCATAGATATATATATTCAAATAATCTAAATACTTCTAAATTTTTTCCTAAATACTTTTTAAACTTTTGTGTATTAATCACAATCTGTTCATTTTTAATTTAAGTTTCAGACACATTAAAATTGCTAAGAATTCTTTCATCATCTCTTTAGAGATAATTTTTATGCTTTCAATTGTAATTTTCTTTTATATTATTTTTTTTGTATTATTTTTCAGAATTTTGTATCTATAAAAATATATAAAGAGATCGATTCGCACTTCTGTGCTATTCGTAGCGCTGAAAATCTTTAATATAAAGTTTTTATATAAGGTTTGCAATATTGCAGAACAAATTTTGTGTGTTACATATTATTGCTGAAGTTTGAATCTCTAACTTCAAAGATATATCTAAATCACTCAACAATATCATTTACAAACCGCGAAGCAAACTGTGTCACATTGCAGAGAGAATTTACGAAGAAGCATTTGTATATTATTATCACGAATCCTGAGTATTCTCGGTAAAATGGCATTCCGCATAGAAACCATGAAGTTTGCGAATATGTTGAATCAAGGTCTCGTTGAATTACCAAAAGATTCAACAAAATGGAACGATGCAGTAGCGCGGAAAAAAAACGGATCGGTCCTGATAATTCTGCTATATTATCATTATCTTGGCACAAGAGAGTATGAAAAAAAACTATACTTTTCTGTATTGTCACTTGTTTTATTCAAATACTACAATTTTTATATCACTCTTCAGAAACGACGTGATATCTTTAAAATCCTTAATTACTAGAATCATGCTACTTCCAAAATCTACACCGATCTCAGTTTTGATTTTAAAACCATTATGGTTGCTATTTGCTGTAAGTACATATTTATCTCATACTTGTTTGCGCTATGCACTGATTGCGTTCGATTTCGCAGGTAACGTCTCTATCTCATCCGCGTCCTAATTTAGTATATCATTACGAAAACGCAGTTGTTCAAATGATGAGCATCTTGCAACGTTCAGAAATCAGTGAATTTTATACTCATCATGTCGATCTTTTACATTACTGTCTTACATGTCCGAACATTTCACAAAACTTGCTATATCGAGTTTTAAATTTGTGGCTGATAGAGTCTGATGGAGATATCAAGCCGTTATCATTTAATTATGACAAAGTTGCTGAATATCTGTTGGTAAGCAGAATATCTATTTTTATATGTATAGAAAAAAGAAAGAAAAAGAGAAAATATGAAATTAACATTTCTTTCTGAACATTTTTAAGATAATTTTAAATATTTTAATAAGTTTTAACACATTTGACAGCTTGATTAAAAAAGATATTTTAATACGAGAACAAATAATAATTTTTACTTGCTTACAAATAGGATGTGATACATAGCAATTATTCTAACAGTTTTGTCAATATTGCTCTGAAAGGACTTTGCCATTTAATACAAATCATCAAAAACGACAAACAGCGCATAGACAATCTCGCGAATACAGTGTGGCAAACATTACCTGATATTTTTTCATCATATCAACCAAATACTGGTTTGTCAAAATAATTCAGTAAATCTTCTAAGAGAAATATCATTACTATAAATGTTATTAGTCTTTCTGTTATATTATTAAATTTTTTTAAATATATATTACTTATACTTATTATATTTATACGTAAAATTAATATTGCGATTTTGTCAACATTTGCATTTGCAGTCACGCATATAGAAACAGCTCTGGAGTTAGCTAATATTATCCGACCATCCATGATACCATTACCTTTCATAATACGTAGCGCCGATAATATAGCCGATATTATACTTAACATAAATACGGACTGTTCTAATATAAAATTCATGACTTTAGTTTTAATGCAAGCGTACATCTTGTTAGAAGTCGCTGTAACGCGCAATTCATTTGAAGGTAAAATACGAATATTCGTGAAAATAAATAATTACTTACAATTGATAAAATTATATATGTGCATACGTTTCTATCGAAATATGTTTTTGAACATAGAATATGTCAATAGAATATTTCAATTACAGTACTTAAAACGTATATGACAAATTTTCGTCTATTAAAATGGTTATACGTCTATGGATTTTCGAAAGAAAGATCAGATTTATCCACTGCTAGTATAAAACTGTTTACGTTTATTATTCATTGTCAAAAGAAATCATCACTAAAGGTATATTAGTTGCACATGTAAAAATTTAAGTGAAATTGTTGTATATTTTAAGATAAGTTTATTTTTCAGTGCGAAAAGTCATTAACGATCAAAGTAAATCATTTGTGTAACATGCTGTTATACGCAAAAGAATTACCGTACTGTATAGCGAACGAGATGCAATTCATGTGCGAACTTTTAACATCGAATGATGATGGCTCGGCCGTCATTTTGCGAAACATCGTAACTGAAAGCAATTATATATATTTGGTTGAAATTTATGAAATTCTTCATCTCATTCATGCAGAGGTCAGTTATATTTAAAAATAAGACTGAAAAAACGTGAAAGTATTTTTCTTGTATCATAAGATTTATTCGTTGTTTGTTTTAATAATTAGAAATATTAAAGTAATTAGATAACAGATAAGATAATAATCAGTTGATATATCTAATTATTACCTTTTTACAGGTAGATCCGATATCGCAAGATATGGTATATCGAAGTTTAATTACTCTATTAAATTTTTGTAATACTAAAGCAGCTAAGCTAATGCCTTATCTTAGCACCATAATGAGTACTTATAGTCTCATCAAAAGTGTTGATATACAACGTCCATCGTGTCACTTCGACGAATTCATCGTTCCTTGGCTTTATTATCACAAGAAATATGATGAATATTATGTACCATGGAACCCTGAAGCGCTGTTTAAGACACCCTTTGATGAAATTTTAGATAAGCTTAAAGAATATTTAATAGTCCTTAAAAATGAGAAAATAAAAGATGCCTATACAAATTTACAAAAAGCGGTAAGCATTATCTTTGGCTTATCCTAAAATAAATTATATAATCTGCAAGATTAATATCTTAATTAATTACAATATCGTTGTCTTTAATATTTTATTACATTTTATTTATATTTTTGTTTTAGTTATCACAGTTTGAGTAAAAAATAAAAACTTTGTAGACTATCATATTTTATCACAATACATGTCGTTCATACGTATTAAGGAGAAATTTGTAAAACTGGATTTATATCTGAAATATCAAGTGTTTTATTAAATAGATGTCAATTAATTTAAAAAAATTTGGTAACTTTTATATTTTGAGAGAGAATATATATAAAAGGTTGTGTATAATAAAATACATACAATATTAAAATAGTATCATTTTTCGTCCACTATACATTAAAATTGCATTATTCGAATAATACGTACATTATAGAATAGAAAAATTAATGTTATATTATTTAAGAATATTTTCTTTTAATAGAATAACAGTTTATTGATTTATTTTGTAGTGTCATTAATATTATGGTAATAACATCATAAATAAAACGTACGTACGAAAAAGATTCTTTTTGAATATCTAATTTCTCGGTTCATGCTTTCTTTATCTCTACATTTTTCAATTTATTTTTATGATATGCATCTCCATTTCCATTTTTATGTTTCTCTACACATTCTATTATTCATATTATGTAGCCGTCATACCATCATCAGTTTAACCCTTCCGAGATAGCAAAGTCTAAGTAAGCAGCTTAAAACAATAAATTATTATCGCTGCAGCGCATGTTCTTTGCCGCAAAAAGATCAATCCAAAGAGAATAACTTGCCCAAGTCATTAATCGTTTATTTCGCGATTAAAAGTTTGTTCTCCTTGCGCTTCTTCTCGAAAGTAACTGCTCTTAATTCAGAGAACACTCTTCTTATTTTCACGATTAACTATTTCGGCTGCATGAAGTAATACTTGAAAGCATTTAATCTCACGTCAATCTCACTCTCTTTCGACCGAAACGTATTTGTCATTCGTCAACATACTGTCCGTGCGAATGAAATAGTATATTGAGTATGTGCCAGGTATATATAGAGCGCGACATAGTCTACGGACGCAATTAACGGAATTGGTATTCCGTATATACAGCACCTGATCGAATAAATAGAACTCCTTGCAATAGAATAGCGATGAGTGTTTCCGCTTGTATCGTGTTTTGGCAACGCCGACGCTCTTGCATTTTGCAGAAACAGCTTTCTTCGCAAGCTTGCAGGAATTGTCTGAGAAGAAGCTTCTACGACAATATTTACCAATCGTAACTACAATTACAAATTATTAACTTGAATTATCTGAATTATTATAAATTTATATATGGCAAGAAGTTCAACAATAATACAAAAAATAAATTACTTTCAAATATTCTATTTTATAAATGTTTAAATAAATAAATTATAACGTGCACTGATTACTTTGTTACAATAAGCTTCATGCTTGGTTCTTAATTAAATTAAATAATAAATTAATTAACAAATTCATGTGTAAATACAAACCTTAAGATCTTCTTAATTAGCAACTTAAAAAATGGGAGCACTAAGCCGGATTAGTGTCAACCCTGCTTTCCTCAGCGTCATAAAGCTCGAGTGAGAATGTTTTCCATAACCTGCATCAACATTCAACACGTATTACTCGATAAAAAAAAAATCTAATTAATTAATGTGGCCAACTTACATTCTTGATGGTCTTTTTGCACGAATGCTCGAGAAATGTAAAGATTTTTGCAAGGAATTCTGATTTTTTTTGGAGACGACGAGACTTGGACAGAGCGCGAATATCATTCTGGTGCCATGTTGAGAGAAGTCGGTGATCGATCAATAGACGGGGATGGCGCTCGGTTTGTTTTCTCTATACTGAATTTCTTGGTGTGGAAAATAGGAAATTTTCAGACCCAACAGGTCGTGAGGAACTCTTTACTTATGGCAACCATTTGCTTTTGTGGGAATATTTCATTAAATTTTTTAAATCAATAAATATAAATTAATGTTAGGAGTGTTTCTTCTTTTTCGCACACTGCATTTGAAATAGATCATTTTACTTACCATTTCTTTGTTAAAATTTGACACAATCTTTCACATAGCTGCAGTTGATAATTAGAATTTTATAATTTTTCTCGAGTCGCATAATATTATTTTAATGTTTACTATTCTCAGTTGTGTTGAAACTCACTTGTGTGAACTCAACGCTGACGTCAAAAAATAAGACCTTATATTTATTAAGATTCATAAATTTTTATTCTAAAATTTAAGACGATAGTATTCCATTTTTTAAAAAAAAGAATACAAGAGGTCTTTAGAAAAATAATCAATTTAAAGTCTCTTTTCTAGTAAACGATTCTTTGTTAAAATAAATTTGAAAACATGCACTAATAAGATGAAATCTTTATATATTCTTAGCCCCGCAATAGGAGTACATTAAGTAGCTAATCCAACTTTAAAAAATCTTAAGAAAACGCAGTAGATACTGGCATACAAAACTTTAGTTCATAATGTATAATTTAATAAGTTTTCCACAGTTTTACTTCAGAAGAGCAGCCGAAAAATAAAAGAAAAGATTTTGATACAATTCTCACAATTAAAACTTGCACGGTTTAATAGTGACAGATATTTAAAAAAAAAAATAAAATAAATAAAATAACGAGTTATACATTTCTTTTGACAAATCATATTTCTTACAGTAGTTTCTTAGTGACAAATTCAGTTAAAATTAATTTTCAATGTGACATGATTTTATAAATGCGTGGATAACGAGAATCAATTTAATATTTTCAATACAAATGAGCAAAAAAAGTCATATTCGGTTAAAGAGGGTCTTTGTGCCTAATAGTATTTTGTGAATACGAAATTATAAATATGAATTTTACAATTTTCAGTTCAAGAAAATTATGCACCGATTATTTGTCGGTTTTAAAACAGAAATATAAACTGAAACTTTGGAATGCGTAATATCACAAGTTAAAGCGACAAGCAATTTAATATTACTGATGGTAATGAACATCTTCAAAGTTTACAGTTAAAGCGCAGTTTGCTTGAATTGGAAATTGTAAAATTTACATAAAAATACTATTATACATCAAGATCCATTTTGATAAAAATACAACCTTCTTCGCTTATTTATATTAAATATTTCTCGGTCGATTTTCACTTAATATTGTTTAATATTTTCATTACGTAATCTTGAAATCTAAATATGGTTTCTCATGACTTAATAATCGTTTTCAAAGAAAAAAAAAGACATTGTGTATATTAAAATATGCTCGATTTTTTCATAAAGAGTTTTTACATCAGAAAAAAGAGATCGAACGAATGTTTTGAAAATTGAATTTGATCCTAAAAGGTCGCTGGTCGCTTTGACAATTGGATATCAAAAGAGAAAACCGGGAAGAATTTGCGTGTAAATATTCGAATTCAAGCGAATATTCGATTTCAATTTGTCGCGATCATTGACGCATTGGATATTCAGCTTCTGTCCCAAAATGGCATGCTTTTCCCGGATATTCGCAACAGTTAACCCGAAACTTGACAGTGTATCCTATAACGTACATTTTACAAGCACTTTTTGCCGTCAACGACGTAACTTCTCGTTTACAATTAAAATGCGTTTTTAAATTGTGAAGAGTTGCATAAATGACAGTTAACTACTTCCACCGAGCAATTAGCATAATTATTGTCCAACTTACATGTTGTTCTGCTCCACATCTATTTTTCACTGTAATATAATTTCACGTGCATCTCTCCAACTGCGTCTAGTTCAGAATAGCATATTTTCTACAAGATTTAATTACGACATTCATGCAAACAGATACAATGCTGTTCTCTCCGAGTGCTCATTAAAGAACTTATTATCTTCTCCAAAGTAAATGTATTTGACTTAAATTGTAAATAAGGAAAAGGTCAATACAGTCGAGGCTAGATCTTGGTGCCTAATGTTTTTATATCTCAATTTTAAATACATCTTTCAGTTATATAAATTATTCTTACTGTCGAATTTAAAACGCAATCATAAATTGAAGCTGAAATAATAATATCATAATTAAATAATAACGAGGTTATTAACATCTTAAAATACTGTAAATAAGATAAGTAGCTAGTAAAAGATATTAGTAGCATTATTAAATCGATAATCAATTTAATTGTAATATTATTTCAACTTCAGTTCATAATTGTATTTCAAGTCCGACAGTAAGTGGCACGCAGTTTATACAACTAAAAGATGTATTTAGAATTTACATATCTATAAAAATATTATTAGACATCAAGATCTCAACTTCAACTGTATTGGTCCTTCCCTTCTTATTTGATTTATTCATATAGCAATCTAAATTAATTTATTAATATTTAATTTATTTACGTCAATAAAATTGACAAGACTCTGAAATAGTCAGTATGCAGATATTGCAGATCCGTTAGATAAATGGTGTAAAAGCTAACTTTGTTGAAAGTTGTTTCAACATGAGTATAAGACCCTTATTTATAGCGCTTCTACTGAGAAACTCAACTAAGACCTGTTTTAAGATGTGTTATGTCTCGCAATAGATGGTTGTTGAAACTCAAGTTATTAAGATATCCATAACGTTATATGCTGACATCCATTTGGAAAAGATATATTTCAAATAAATATGTATCAATACTACAATTACTTCTGTTTTAATCAGAATCAAATATAAGATTAAATGTCAGGTTTTAATAATTAAATTTCTCAAGTAACCTCAATTACGCTACGATAAAAATTAATGATCGAACTGTTCGCGGCTCAAAATACCGACCTACATTCTCAGTATTTCATCCAATACGTCCTTGAGGCGAGATTCAAAAGTAATAGAAGTCTATAAAAATACTTAAGTTAAGGCTATAAAAATACGACGGTAAATCAGGTTTCATTTGTGCGCGCAAAACCGTGGCGTGAATTATTGTGCGATTATTTCTTTCTTTTTTTCTTCAACCAACGGCCAGCGATTGTGACATGAAATCGACTCGTAATGCACTCTCTCGAGTGAAAATCGCAGTACATTCGAACGGGATAGCCGATTTTGGGGCATCGGCGAACTATGAGTTCACGCTGGAACAAATCGACACCGTAACATTGTAAGCCGATACTTAATTATTTTGCACCGCAGCCGTGCACTTTGGCGCACGAAACGGCGGTTATGACGGCCGGTGGGTGGTCAGGGCACAGTTACATGGAGCAATGGCCTGTGGAATATAGTTCGGTGGCCGGTTTTGCCCTTTCCATCTGCAAGCCCCGTTTTACGCGTGCCACGATTGAGCGAACCGGTCGCCTTGAACCGGAAACAAAAATGAACGCGTTTTACCGGATAATCATGTACCTCGGTTGCCTAACAAAACGAGATTGGATAGTGGATGAAATCTGACGAAAGATACGCTACATTTATTTAACATTGCGACAAGAACGCGGTAATAAAACGTTCTCGATAAAGATATTATACTACAAGCAGAAAATTTCATTTTATTGCTATGAAAAATGATTACTCAATTTATTTTCCTCCTCTTAAATAACGGTTATTTTTTAATAAAGAATATTTTCTTGATAATAAAATACACTTATTATAAATTTTAGAAACATTCATCATTATGTACTCGGAGTAAAAATTTATTTCCTTTTGAAGAATATTATAAAATTGATCAAAGAAGCGATTTTATGTAATAAACAAATCGAATTTGTTTTAATTTAATTGTGATTGAAGTATAACTTACTAGGATTTAGAATATATTTTGAATAAATTTGATGCTTGTGGTAAATTTATAATAAATTTACGAATATATGAACTGTTGAAATAAATACTTGAAACAAGTATTTATTACCCGTATACAATATGTATCTTATTATATGCAGTTTGACATGGATGATTCTTTTTTTTTACGAAAAGGTAATTTGTTCATTGAAAAAAAATGTTGTTAATTTAATTAAATTAGTTTAATTTGTCCTTATTTCATTCGTTGAAGAACGTATTTAAGTTGAATGTAATATGTTTCACTTAAATATATACATTTTTCACTAAACTAATTTAATCAAATTAACAATTTCTTTTTAGTGTACAGAGTGAATTATCTCTGGCTATATGGGTCTTAAATGATGCATTCACTAATATATACGAGGGGAAAAGGAAAATTACGGAAACTAAAATTTCGCGCGAGTCTTTAAGTCTCATTATACGTCGGCAATTGCAGACGTGACATGAAAATAATTCTACATACCGGAAGTAAAAATCTCGGAGAAAGCTAACGTTTCTAAATAATATTTATATATTTCATAAAAAGTACAAAAGAAAAATATACTCCACTCTTTTATTTTTGACATCGCGAACAACGCAGTGACCAACCGCATCGACCGTTCTTTCCGATACCATTGATCTTCCCAAAAGCTTTTTTCGTAAAAAAAAAAATTCCAGCATTATATTGCATTTACAATACATTCTTTCTTCTTTTTCGATTTGTAAATAAAGTTTCGGATACCACCGTATCCGCTTCCTTCGGGACAGTGAAAAGAACAAGAAACCGGCTCTACGCTTGGGAAGTAGGGGAAGGTCAGTGGCATCGTAAAAATACAGAGGACGAGGTGTCGACGTTCTGATGCCTTGGGCCATGTTACAATTATACACCTCTTCCGTGTAGAAGGGAGCAAAAAAAGGCAAATGTCGATTATAACACGGTGTGAACGAGTTTGCGAAACGAACGTAACGACACGGACTACTTCCACTACAGGTGTGTGTCTGTCTGTCTGTCAATCTGTCTGCACGCGTATGTGCGCGGATTCGCATTC